GTTTCAGACAGCCCCACCGTTAAAGGGCTAGGGTCCTTGAGGAGGACAGAGTTTGAAAGTTTAACATTAATTTCAGAAATAGAGTGCAAAGAGTCAGAGTCATCCTCAGAGGAAGAGGGCAGAGTCATTACTGGGACTTTATCTGGTGTATGAAAAGATTTTAATTGATTAATGTGGTAAGTTTTAGTTTTTGATGTCTTATCAAGGGGAGCTACCACATAATTTACATCAAATAATTTACTTACAATTTGCATAGGTCCCGTAAATCTAGCTTTCAAGGTGTGGCCAGGTATAGGTTCCTGCACCAACACCTTGTCTCCTGGATGGAAGGAGCGGAATTGTGCATTTCTGTCATACCTCTGTTTCATCTTATTCTGAGCTGCCTTTAGGTTAGCCTTGGCTAACCGACGTGCCACCTGCAACCTTGAAGAAGGGTTGTAGGGTGTTGAGCTAACGTCTTCTCCCATCCATCCTTCTTTGAGCACCCGAAGAGGACCTCATACATTGTGCCCAAAGATCAGCTCAAACGGACTAAACCCGGTAGACTCTTGCACCGTTTCTCGTACTGAGAACATCAACAAAGGTAATGATTCATCCCAGTCTGTAGGAAAATGCATGCAAAAAGTTCTCATCATGGTTTTTAACATCTGATGGAATCTCTCCAAGGCGCCTTGGGACTGAGGATGATAGGCAGTGGATAAGTTGTGGATTATCCCTAACCTAGTTAATGCTTCCCTAAATGCTTTGGCAGTGAAGTTAGTACCTTGATCACTTTGAATAGTTTTAGAAATGGCAAAACAAGAAATAAATCTTGTTAAAGCTTTGAAAATAGCTTTAGTATTAATACTGCGCATGGGAATTGCTTCAGGGTATCTAGTTACTCTATCCATAATGGTAAATAAATACTGATTTCCCGACTTTGATCTAGGTAGTGGACCTACACAATCTATAATTAAATCTGCAAAAGGTTCTCCATCAGTAGGTATAGGTTGAAAAGGTGCAGGTTTAATGGAATGTCCAGGTTTCCCTACTTGCTGACATTCTCGGCAACACCGGATATGATTCTTCACATCCTGCTTTAATTTTGGCCAATAAAATTCTTTTGTGATTCTATATAAGGTTTTAGTAATTCCTAAGTGACCTCCTAATGCAGTATTATGAGCTATATTCAATATTTGAGGTCTAAACTTTGTTGGAACTATTAACCTGTCAGACAATTGCCGGCCCTCTATCTCCTTACCAGTCTCAGTGCAGATCAAATAGTCATTTTTAAGTTCATACTTGACCGGATGATCCAAAGAGGGTTTACCCATAGCTGCCTGAAAAGTGAAATTTAAAGAATGGTCCTTTCGTTGTTCCTCCCGGAAGAACAGTCCCTCGGGCATGGAAACAGAGAGATCTGGCAATCCTGCAGCCTTGGAATAGGAAGGCTTGATCGGGGTTTGTTCACTTGATCTACGAGGCCCCGGCCGGTTTTCCTCGTAAAACAACGTGGCTATTCCGAGATCGGAGTCGTCCAAGGATAGGTCAACATTCTCGCCAGACAACCCTTGGGATGTTGCCCGAGTTATGGCTACCACCGGAGAAGAATTAATCATTATGGGTTCAGGACATACACTAGCAGTGGTAATGTTATTACCCAGTAATAACATGGCATCTTTCATGGGGAATCCTTCGGATACACCCACAGTCAAGTACCCAGTGTAATATTTGCACTGTACATAAATTTTATGCAAAGGGACAGAATATATAGCTCCTCCAAATGCTTCCAATAAAACAGAGGAATTCAAGGAAGTGTTCTTTGAAAGGGGTAATATTCCCTCTCTTATAAGTGAGCAATATGCTCCAGTATCTCTAAAGGTTTTGACTTCAGTTGTTTCGGAGTTTTCCTGAAGGGAAATAAGACTCTTACAATAATAAGGGGCCATCCCTTTTTCTACTTCTCTCGGGGACATGTTACTAGGGATATTAGAGATTTTCCAAATGGGTTGGGGTTTGTAGGGGCAGTTGGGACGGATGTGACCTACTTGGTTACACATGTAGCAGATGACAGGTTTGCTTTTAACTCCCTGCTGATGTTGCAACTGGTGTCGCTCTGGCTTGTGTCTCTCTGGATACTGTTGTCGAGATGCACCATATTGAGTAGTTTGTCTCTCACCAAGTGGACCATAAGTTGAGAAGCGTGGCTCACCAGGGGACTTAGTTGGCTGACGTAGACGTTCTCCCTCCGGCTGGCACTTCATTCTCCAAGGTTGACGATCTCTGCTCATGCCAGGCTGTTGAAAAGAGAGATGGGACCGCTCGGACAAGGAGCGGTTAGTTTCAAAGGTATCAGCCAACCTGGCTGCCTCCAATGCAGTGGTTAAGTCACGATCCTGCAGAAAGACTCGAACCTCTGATCCCACAGACTCCAGCAGGTTGTCAATCAGAATAAGCTGCACAAGATCATCGAAGGTAGCAACACCACTTGCTTTATACTAGCTGGTAAAAGCTTTGGTCTGCTGTCGCACAAAATCAACCAGGGATTGACCAAGCTGTCGTCTGCCTAACTTACAAAACTTCCGATACTTAGCCGGGATACAAGTATATGCTCCCAACACTGTGGTCTTCACTACTTTATAATCGGAAAAATCAGTGTCATTTAACACTGACGTAAATTCCTGTGCCTTATCAAACAATGCTGTGTGAGCCAACGATGCCCAGTGCTGTTTTGGCCACCTCAGGGCTCAAGCCTGATTTTTGAAAGCTTTGAAAAATTGTTCTGGTTCGGCCTCATTGAAGTGGGGAACAAGCTGTACTGCTTTCTGTAATCTAAAGTCATTTACAGAATGCGAAAACTGCCTCCTTTTTTTTTCCCTATCAAATTCTTCTTTTGCAAATGCTCCCTGTTCCCTAGTCTGCTCAAGATTGATTTTTGTCAGCTCAAGTGCCAACGCCGCTGATTCCCCTTAAGAGAACCCTGCTGCACTATACTGACGATTTTGCTCCGTTGATATATCATCTTCCTCCTGCGAGAACATAAGAGTTTTTTCCCTAGCTCCCGTAGAGGGAGGAGTCTGATGTGCCATCTCTTCTTCTCGAAGTTTGTCAGTGATCAGTGAACGCAGCTGCGCAGCTGTGAGAGTGCGTTCGTAATTAATGCCAATGGAACGAGCAATTTGCCAACACCGCTGTAGGGACAATTTAGGTAGGTTAAACAAAGTACATGCCGACACCAGACGTCTGGCTCGTCTAGGTGGCATACCACAGTGTATAAGTTATTTGCTATGCACAGTACGATTGCAGAATACCCCAACGTAACACTTTATTTGCAGAACACGCTTAGCTATGCACAGTACGATTGCAGAATACGCATACAAGGTGGATATGCAATAGCAAAGCTGACTGCAAAATCTTCACACCGAACAGGCTAGTAGAGAGCTGTTGAACGATCACACAATAGCAAGGCTGACCATAGCAAAGCAACTGACACGCAAAATTTGTAAAGCATTGGCAAAGCTGAATGCAATGCCAGACAGCAAGCTACACTCTGTTCCACAAGATTGACCATAGCGAAGCGAGCACACCGAACAAGCTAGTAGCGAGCTGTTGAACGATCACACAATAGCAAGGCTGACCATAGCAAAGCAACTGACACGCAAAGTTTGTAAAGCGTTGGCAAAGCTAATGCAATGCCAGACAGCAAGCTACACAATGTTCCTGCTTCCAACTTCACCCTAGGCTCAACCCTTTCTCCAAGTCCAGCTCCAGCTCTCAGACAGGCTACCCATATTACAACCCAGGAGTCTAAATGGCCTGTTATCCTGGGTGTAAAGGGAGCAAAATAAACACAGCAGAAAAGTTTTGACTTATATTATCCTTCACCAATTTAGAATAGAAGTATGTACAGTATATACACTATGTACAGTGATAGGTATTAGTGCACTCCACGGTAAGCAAGGCAGAATAGAAGCCACTAGAGAGCAGACCGTGCTTCAACCAGCTCTAGAATGGGAATGACAAGGGCAGACAGGAGAGTGGACCCCACATACCCTCTGCAATTGCCAAAACCATCTTCTCATTGGCTGGAACCTGGGTACTGGTTGAACGACGTGGCCCCATTGTCAACCCTTAGTCACCTGGTTTGCTGGTTGGGGGAGATAGCCTATAAATGAGGGAGTGTACATGCGCCGAATGAAGGTTACGTACTCTTTGCATGCCACAAATTGCTTTTATTAATGTACTAAAATTGGATATATGATGAGTGTGGAGAGTAAAAAAGACACATTACTGTGACTGGAACAGTACACAAATAACCTGACATGGCAGAGAAAAACTTAGGACGACGTTTGGGTCCAACTTGGATTACTAACAAAGTCACACTGTTTCTCTCTCCTTTGTGCAGGATGTTTGTGCATCATGAGTGTGCTGCTATGGTGTTCTTTGTGACAGTCACACAGTGGGGACAAGAGCTAGAGCTGTGTTTCCCTCTTATAGTCCATCACAGGATTACTCACTTGTCTAGGGGAGGGAGGGAAAGGTGTTGTCTCAGTCGACCTTGGTGCCATCTTCATGTCACTCTTCAGTTTTCCTTTAGTACCACTGAGTTAAGTCTGACTAAATAAGGTGTTTTACATCTCTGATAAACCCACTCTGAGGTTTTAATACCCAATACACATGGTATTGTGTAGTGGGTATTTAATACCAACTACACATGTTATTGTGTAGTGGGTATTTAATACCAACTACACATGTTATTGTGTAGTGGGTATTTAATACCAACTACACATGTTATTGTGTAGTGGGTATTTAATACCAACTACACATGTTATTGTGTAGTGGGTATTTAATACCAACTACACATGGTATTTTGTAGCGGCTTTCAGTATCAACTAGTTATAGTATTGTTTGCACTATTCTTCCATTTCCCATGACCCACCATTATCACTAACCTCGCTTGTTCCTTGTTTCTCTCATGTATTTATTCATTTTCCTGTTTTTTTTTTTTTTTACCCAAACAGTCTGAGCAAATGGTCTCTCTGAGCTTCAAGTCACTTGAGTCTTACATCTGTGAGGACAACTTCAGTGGTCTGCAGACCTTCCTGGCTACCAGGTCAGTGGTCATTGATGACAAGGATGAGAATGGTGCCACGGCACTCATCCTGGCTGCTGCCAGAGGCAAGACTGACATGTGCAGGGAACTCATTCTTCATGGTGCTGATGTTAATGCTGAAGATAATGTGAGTATGTTGTATCATGGATAACTAAACTATAATGAACACTTGTCAGTATTCAGTAATAACTCGCGTGAAGCCAGAAACTCAGGAGAGTAATTGATCTGTATATTTCGATCCCTTTCTTAGATCTTCAGAGGATCTGAGTTTTTGTCTTCACGTGGGTTATTACTGAGGATGTTGTATTATGTTGAGCTATGGTGGCTAATGTATTATGTTGTGGAACTATAGTACCAGAAGCTGTCATGGTACAACTATTCTCATAGCACCGTGCCAGAACAATGTACAAAATGCACAACAAAATGAACACCTGGCAGTAGGGGTTCAATAAAGTTGAACTACTGGTGGCACCAAAAGGGAGTTAAACCCTTCCCTAATCTCCATTAGCCACTTAAAGCCCCCTAATTGAAGACAATGGGTACCCTTAGCCCCCTTTGTCACTTAGGTTTCCACCCCTTAAATTCCCATATATGTGGAAGTTCAGGAGTCATCCCTCAGTTCAAACATCTATCCAATTTACGCTCGATAGACTGATTATAGATCGAAATGTCGACCGTACACTCTTGAGCGAAATGTGATACTAGTGAACGTTTCTCAGTGTTGTTTGTTCATTATGAACACTTGGGTCTTTCAGGACCAATGGTCAGCATCCATCACAGCTAGCAAGGAGGGCCATGAGGAGACCGTGGCCACACTGCTGGACCATGGTGCCAATATACACCACAAGGACATGGTAAGTGGCACTACACCAGGGTCAGTAAGACTGTTACTTGTACACCACCAGTCACTACACCAGAGTCAGTAAGACTGTTACTTGTACACCACCAGTCACTACACCAGGATCAGTAAGACTGTTACTTGTACACCACCAGTCACTACACCAGGGCCAGTAAGACTGTTACTTGTACACCACCAGTCACTACACCAGGGCCAGTAAGACTGTTACTTGTACACCACCAGTCACTACACCAGGGTCAGTAAGACTGTTACTTGCACACCACCATTCAGGTATACTTTAATACCTAAATTTTATTTTTTTTTATTATCACACTGGCCGATTCCCACCAAGGCAGGGTGGCCCGAAAAAGAAAAACTTTCACCATCATTCACTCCATCACTGTCTTGCCAGAAGGGTGCTTTACACTACAGTTTTTAAACTGCAACATTAACACCCCTCCTTCAGAGTGCAGGCACTGTACTTCCCATCTCCAGGACTCAAGTCCGGCCTGCCGGTTTCCCTGAATCCCTTCATAAATGTTACTTTGCTCACACTCCAACAGCACGTCAAGTATTAAAAACCATTTGTCTCCATTCACTCCTGTCAAACATGCTCATGCATGCCTGCTGGGAAGTCCAAGCCCTCGCACACAAAACCTCCTTTACCCCCTCCTCAACTTTCCTAGGCCGACCCCTACTCCGCCTTCCTTCCACTACAGACTGATACACTCTTGAAGTCATTCTGTTTCGCTCCATTCTCTTACATGTCCGAACCACCTCAACAACCCTTCCTCAGCCCTCTGGACAACAGTTTGGTAATCCCGCACTCCTCCTAACTTCCAAACTACGAATTCTCTGCATTATATTCACACCACACATTGCCCTCAGACATGACATCTCCACTGCCTCCAGCCTTCTCCTCGCTGCAACATTATCACCACGCTTCACACCATATAAGAGGCGTGGTAAAACTATACTCATACATTCCCTCTTTGCCTCCAAGGACAAAGTTCTTTGTCTCCACAGACTCCTAAGTGCACCACTCACTCTTTTTCCCTCATCAATTCTATGATTCACCTCATCTTTCATAGACCCATCCGCTGACACGTCCACTCCCAAATATCTGAATACGTTCACCTCCTCCATACTCCTCTCCCTCCAATCTGATATTCAATCTTTCTCATCACCTAATCTTTTTGTTATCCTCATAACCTTACTTTTCCTGTATTCACCTTTAATTTTCTTCTTTTGCACACCTACCAAATTCATCCACCAATCTCTGCAACTTCTCTTCAGAATCTCCCAAGAGCACAGTGTCATCAGCAAAGAGCAGCTGTGACAACTCCCACTTTGTGTGTGATTCTTTATTTTTTAACTCCACCCCTCTTGCCAAGACCCTCGCATTTATTTCTTAAAACCCCTCTATAAATAATTAAAAACCCACGGTGACATCACACTCTTTGTCAAGGCCTACTTTTATGGGAAAAAATTTCCCCTTTTTCCCTACATACTCACTTGAGCCTCATATCCTCGTAAAAATCTTATGCTTTCGTAACCTCCCTCCTACTAAATAATGATTATTTTAACTACCAGTGTTAGATTTAAATCAATACCTGAGGTATCCCCAAATTACCGTTATTTTATATTTTTAAATATTTATATAATACAGTGGCCCCCGGGGTTAACAAACTTTTTTCATTCCGTAGTATGTTCAGGTGCCAGACTGCCCAAATTTTTTCCATAAAATATGTGAAGTAGATTAGCCATTGCCCCCCAAACATACACGTACAAAGCATTAAATAAATACATTCCTATTGGTCCCATTTGGAGGTGACGTTTAACCCCGGGGGGTCCATGTTTTTATATATTAAATTATATATATATTATATATATATTATATATATGTATATTTAAATACATACCGAAACATCATTGAATGTATTCTCTTGGGTTGTATGCCAAAGAGTATAGTCTCTTTTTATATTATATAGAGGAGAATCCTCATTGTAAGACCAAGTATATAACCCCCGAGGGTTTGTGTTTTGTTTTGACACAGATAGGGTCCTCAGAAATTTTCACGAGGGGGTCTCAGTGTATGTCGTATGAAAAAGATATGGGTTCTCATATAGAGATTTCAAGAGTAAAAAAATTTTTCAGGGTGGGTGGACGCATCTGTGGGCCATTTAAAAGGGGCCACAGTGCCTTGGTCAAATTTACATTGTCCAGAGGTGGGACCCCAATACCAGGGTCAACCCCACTGACCCGCTGGTGTGGGCAGTGGAGAGGTCACACTGAGGTGAGACCTCATTCAGTAGGGTGAAAAGGTCAACATTGGTGAAAAGTTTGGCCCAACACCGCTATTTTGGGCCTGCGGAAAGGTTACTCGAGATAAAAAAGGCCCTTTGCGAGGTGCAATATTGATGCTTCGGGCATGGTAATTTAATTTTGATAATGAATTTTCCCTGTCTTGTTTTCTTGTTCTTCTTGTCTTTGTCTTTTCCCAAAAATTTTTAAAATTTTTCCCCATGTAGTGGAAGAATTTATGTGTATTATTTTTAAGTCATTTAAAATTATTCTGAACCTGTGTAGAAAATGACCTATTTGAAAAGTAGTTTCTCGTTAAAAAGATAGTTACTTTATGAAAATTTACACATTTCCCTCTTTCTCGCTTGATGAACTATTCAGTGCTGTGATAATTATTCTCATGTTTGTACTGTGATAACATGTTCAGTCGAAAACTCTGTTTTCGATATTCAGTCTCCTGGCGCCATGTGGTTGCCACCAGGGGTAATTTGTTGAATGGTCAACTTGCTTCTTAAAACCCGTCCCAACTTAAAACCCCTGGAAAAGGATGGGGGGGGACAGGCTCACCATCGTTTTGCAAGGAAGGATTTACGAGTTCCCCAACGCTCTTCAACAGTGGTTTACGTAAACATGCAGGTAAGTATGAGTTGATCCTTCAGGGGGATGAACTTGTGTGATGCATTTTCTTTTAGGGTAAATTTTTTTATTTTTTATTTATTTAATAATTTGAAATACAGAGGTACAAAAAATACAGGAAAGAGCGCATGCCAAACCCATTTGTATGCATAGCTTACGGGGGGTTAAAATTAAAATTAAGTTTAAATAAGAAATGTGTAATCAGTGTATACATTTATGTAAAGAAAACAAAAAAAGCCAAAGGTATTACAAAGACAGGTCTTTAAATGGTTGCTGCATTGTGTACATTCAGCGAAGGGTATTCTGTTGGGTAGTGTATTTAAAAAAATAACAAAGTTAGATTGGGTCTTAGGTTTACATTTTTGATTTTTTCAGTTAGGTTGGGTTTAAAGTTGGGCAAGTTGTTAGGTCAGGTTAGGTTAGGTTATGTTGTTGATGATGTTAAGTTAGGTAGTTTGGGTAAGTGGGTTGGGTTAGGTTAGGTCAGGCAATTTGGTTGGTAGGTCGGTTAGGTCAGGTCGTTAGGTGGGTTGACAGATAAAATTAATTTTGTTTGGTTAGCTTATGTTAGGTTGACTAGGTTAAGTACGTTAGGTCGGTTAGGTCATCAGGTTGTATAAAGGGTGTTTCAGGTTATTCAGTTTTGGTGACTTTTTTTCTTTCACATTTATGAAAAATTTTCATTATAGGAAATGTAAGGAAATGAGAAAAAATAAGAGCCTTACAGGAGAGCTGACTGTTTACCTGGAGAGAGTTCCGGGGGTAAACCCCCCCCCGGGGCCCCCGGTCTGGACGGGCCCTCCTTGGTCAGGCCCCGGGCGACCCACCCGTCGACTACACCCAGGTACCCATTTACTAAAGGGGAAAACATGAAAAAGGGTTAAAAGAAACAGCCAAAATGTTTCTCTCTGGGGGGAACGAACCGGCCCCTCCCCTTTGAAAGCGAGAGGTTAACACCAGGCCACCAGACCCCCCCTGTATGATGAAATGTTGCCAAACTTTAATAATAAGTTTTGTGTCAGGATTAATTTTAATAATAATGTGTGTAGGATCAAATTTAATAAAAAATGTGTGCGGTTTTAACTTTTAAAATGTGTGTCGGATCTAACTTTAATAAAATGTGTGTCAGGTTTAAAACTTTAAATAAAATGTGTGTGTAGGATCTAATTTAATAATAATGTGTGTCAGGATCTAACTTTAATAATAATGTGTGTGTCAGGATCTAACTTTAATAATAATGTGTGTCAGGATCTAACTTTAATAATAATGTGTGTGTCAGGATCTAACTTTAATAATAATGGTTAGGACTATTTTAATAAAAGTGTGTGTCAGGATTAACTTTAATAAAATGTGTGTCAGGATCTAATTTTAAATAATAATGTGTGTGTCGGTTTTTTAATTTAATAATGGTGTCGGATCTATTTAATTAATGTGTGTGTCAGGATCTAACTTTAATAATAATGTGTGTCAGGATCTAACTTTAATAATAATGTGTGTGTCAGGATCTAACTTTAATAATAATGTGTGTCAGGATCTAACTTTAATAATAATGTGTGTCAGGATTAACTTTAAATAAATAACAAAAGGCACAATCCGTGACGGGAACGATACAAAATCCCCCGACAAAAAAGAGAAAAGCTTCGAGATTTTGGTCCGACTTGGACCATTGCGAGTCACAAACAGGGTGGGCGGAGGCTATATATAGGCAGGAAGGGTGGTGGTAGTAGTAGTAGTAGTAGTACAAGAATTGTAAAACCCCGACAAGATGAAATTAAGCCCTGCACGACCCCCGGGCATCCCCATCGTAGGTTTCCCCAAACCAGCCAGCCCCTGGATTTCGAAATGTCCAAAAAAAAAACAGAGCGCACATGTGTCTATTTTTATCGTAGTTTGGGAGTAGAAGAAGAAAGGGGTTGTAGTGGTGTGGAGAAGTGGGGAAAAAAGGATGTGAGCCAGTCAAAAACAAAAAGGGGGGAGCACTCAAGAGAGCTGATGCCCAAGGGGGAGAGCGCAAAAGGTGCTGAAAGGGGAAAATGGTGAATAAAAAAAATGGGGAAAAACGAAAAATGAGAAGGA